ATGGCTTGTCTCTGTTAAGATCATTATGTTTTTAAAACACATGCAGCTAAAATGATAGTAAGTTTATTGTTACTTTATATATTTTCAGGGACAGATGAAAGAAAGAGTACCCTCATCGTATGTTAATCGTGACATAACTATTGAAATCACAAGATCAAGAAAGAAGTGATCAACTAGCACCAAGAAAGAAAAATGTATTATGTCCTCCATGTCTCTGTTTTTTATTTCACCAGCAAAACATTTCAAGATGATTACTGTAAACAAATTAATTACAGTTACTTATTGGCCATTACACAAAATAATCTTATTTAATTGATTCCTACAACTATCCTTACTTAAATTATTAAGTTTACGTTCATATTTAAGTTGGATGTTTAAACTTCTATACTTGTATTTAATTATTAATTATTAAATGTTTGTAATTATTAAAAGTTATATTGTAGGGGACTGCAGTGGACTGTATGATTTTGACTAACTGTTTGACTGGCTAACTGTGTGTGACGACTGACGTTATGTAGGGTAAACTATACTATAGGGACTATCGAAGAAAAGAGGGTACTATAGACGATTATATATTCAACTATTTACAATGCGGCTTTTCACTAAACTATATACACAGAGGGGAATCTTCAATCTTCAATGGAGTATTAATTCTTCTCTCTTGATTTATCTTGATGGTTTCTTCTCTTGCTGTTGTCTTCAAGTGCCTCTTCCGAAATGAACAGCTCACAGGCCAATACGCCCCTCTTATATTTCGCAAGAGAGCGTCTCGGCATACGAGTGGTGTTGTGAGGTGTGCCGCGCGCTGATTCGTCGGCGGCATCACGTGATATTCGGGCGGTGTGCGGGGTGCGCGGGACGCAACGGGGTACGAACAGGCGACGAGGCGGCGGCTCGTCTCGCCTTACGTAACATATATTTATATGAAAAATAAAGCAGCCATTATGTACTCCGATCTGATTCGTGGGGAAAATTGTTGAAGTTTATCCGGTAGACCTCTTCAGAGATTATTGAGAATTTATACATTTTGAATTAAAATCCAACAAAACGCATGTAGGTGCTGCTTATTCACGGAAACTTATTAATGAATACTTTTTAATTATTTTAGAATATATCATGTTAAAAATTCAGTTAATTTTGATGTTATTCAATATCGTGCACTACAGTATTTTTTTAATCTTTTTACCGCTGTCTTAAGAATCATTTTTCGATAGTCTTTGTAGCATAATGAATGTACATTATATTAGCTAACGCACACAATGACAAATCAAAATTTGTCACTCGGTTTCAGGCTAACAGGTCGTCTATACGTCTATATTCTAAGTCTATGCATATTTCTTTATAATTTGTGGATCGCAGTTACTTTTAGTCCTAACTAGTGCCATTTTATTACATTATACAACTGTGACTCAGTCGCCGAGCGGCATTTAATGCGGGCAGGTGCTATAGTGCACATGTTATCAACTAAGCCGTCAGGCATTAAATCATTGTAATCAGTCTATCTCGCTCGCACTCATTGGGCTTATGGAGCGTCATAATGATGTGCATAACAACAGGTAGTCGCTATCGATAAGATTTGATGAATGGATTTTTTAATGTTTGAAATTATAAAATAATACAATAAAATAAATAAAATATGATCTACATTTAGAAGCATTTTATTATATTACAAATTATCTTCTTCATCCCTACTTTAATGTATGGTAGTGAAAGTTGGGTCTGGCAGAAGAAACATGAGAGTAGAATAAATGCTGTAGAAATGCGTTCCTTAAGGAGTATGCTAGGGCTGAATCTGAATGACAGGGTGAGAAATAGTGTGATAAGAGAAAAGTGTGGTTTGCAAGATGACGTTGTGACAAGGATTAAAAAAGGAATGCTTCGGTGGTTTGGTCATGTAGAAAGAATGAACGAGGAAAGAGTGACAAAGCAAATTTATGTTGCGGAAGTGAACGGCAGGGTCGGGAAGGGACGCCCTAGACGAAGGTTTATCGACCAAATCGGCGATACATTAAAAATGGGCCAGATTAGGAGTACCCTTAACCGACGAGCGTGTATGCGTAGATATATGGATGTAAAAGAGGCGAGAGAGGTGTGTCAGGATCGCGCCAAATGGAAGTCCGTAGTCTCTGCCTACCCCTCTGGGTGACAGGCGTGAGTGTTTATGTATTATGTATCTTCTTCATCCGAGTCATTTGTGTCACTATCGTCTTCCTGTAGATTTATAATCAAAAGTTCAACTTGATCTTTAAAAATGGCTTTTTTTCAAATCCGTTTCCTGGAGGTCTTCTGGATGTTTCACGCATTTTACCCAGTTTTTCTTGGTAAAGTTTTCTATTACTTTATACAGAAGAACTCCTACATCAGCTATTTTAAAAGGAGCGTACAGGTAGCGAGTGGTGCACAGCGGCACAAATTCCTATTGTTATTGACATTTATGGACCGAACTCAGTTGATAAAGCGGGTACTTTAGGTGTGCATGTGTATGTCTAAATGTATATGTATGTCAGTGTATGTATGCGTACAAATAAAAAGAGTTAATAGTAGAGTAGTTAAAGAGTAGTTTAATTAGTTAAACATTATAGACTTCTACTACCTAATAACAACTACAAAATTTAAAAAAGTCAGGTCAGACCTTGATCAAATTTATATAGAACCACATAACTATCAAATAAAAAAAGAATCATCGACATCGACCCTTTAAAAAAATATACAGTCAAATAGAGTACTTCCTCCTTTTTAAAGCCGGTTAAAATGGCGGTTGCCATCCCACCTGCCAAACCTGGCAACTATGGCAAATATCCCACTTATGTCTAATCTATAGGGAGGCTAATGATCATCTGTAGCCTTGATAGGTTGTAATGAATGAATGAATATTGTACATGGACATGCCTTATTTGGGGAACCTCGCAGACTACAAAAATAAAACGTTAATATACGAGGGGCAAGAATAAGGGTTTTTGGACATTTTGAAGCAAAGATGCCATGATCTACATTCAGTTCCGACTGAATTTAGATCCCAATTTTGTACACAAACAAATCGCCCTATTTGTAGTCTAATCTAATCGGCGCTTTAGTTTTGGTAGTCAGCTTCTTGCGGGTAAGCATGTCTCACAGACATCATTTGTTAAGTACTGTATGTATATCCGTAAAAATCATTTTTATTAATAGACTTAGAATATACTGGTGGTTTTATTCCACATGTTTGTTTTATTCTATGTTTTGTGGCGAAGAAAATTTAAAATCATTACGTTTGTCTGTGGTTATTTTCGTCCTCCAATTCGGCTTGAGTTTTGGCGGGAACTTGAACGGTGGAGGATTGCTGCTCCTGTATTATTGTTTAAATAACGGTTTGAAGTGGATTTTGAAATGTAAAAGTGGTGCAATTTTGTGTATTAAGTGTACTATTAGTGGGAACTGCGCATGTGAACTATTAGTGGGAACGGTGAAATAAGTGCTCTGATGGTGATGCGATCTTCAAGATAAGGTGTTTGTCTGCTTAAGTGCCTTGAGATACCATCGGTGCTGGCTCAAGTTACCATCAAAACCTCCCAAGGGCTGCACAATGTGACGCATCAACATATTGTGAAGCAGTGTACTATGAAGTATAATTATACACATTGTAACTTCAGGCTCAGAAGGGCTAGAACCCAGAGCCGCAAAAGTTACTTATAAACAAATCCTATCCGGCTTTAGCTTTAGCGTTCTCTTGTCAATTGTCAACTTGTCATTGTCAGTCAAAAATTGCGATAGAATAGAAGTCGTCGACATTTCTTTTCTCAAAAGTTTTTGGTGTTATAAAGTAACTTTTTTAAACTAAGTTAAGTGGCTAATAACCAATAATAATAAAAGGCAACAGAGTATTTGCATACTTCATGTAGTTAAAATAAGTTTTCGTGTTATTATATTGTGAATAACTGTATTATTGTTTTGTGTAGGTGGCTACGTACTCAATGAATTGTCCTAATGTGAAAGTGTTTTCGCATAAAATTTAACTTCCATTGTTTGAAAGATTCTTGGTATTGTTAAGAAAATGCCATATACTTTACTTGCGTGAGATAATGTTACTTTGAAGTGTTTTGATATGTGTTAAAATTGCAATTGTTCTGCATTTTTACGGAAAAAGTTTGGTAAGCTCATGCTGCTATTATAAATCAACAAACTTCAAAAAAGTTGTTTACTAGGACTGTTCGTGTTTTATCGAAACGAAATACTAACATTGCGTCAAAATTAATGTAAAATTTTTCTTAAAGTTGATAAATTCTATTATGCTGTTTTTATCAACGAAAAAATGTTTTTATAATAAACCTAAAGAGATTGTTTTTTTTACTATTCAGGTATGATAACCAATTTTCAATTTTTTTTGAGTGAATAGGATTTTGTTAAGTCAGTGCGCTTCACAATCTTAGGCTACATCACCACTTACCATCAGGAGGGATTGTAGTTAAGCACTGGCTTAGTAGAATATTAAAAAAAAATTACAAATGACCCCTATTTTATTTTTAATACATTTGTAAATACTTTTTAATAAATTAAATATAGATATATTAGAGATAATTGTAATCACTCATCATTAATATTTAATTTTTCATTATGTTTCCCTGGCTAATGGCTATTTATTATTAAAATAAATTCCTCCCATAACTTCACATAATTTAGGTACTTTTTAATTGAATTTGTACTTAGTATGTCAGACATATTCATAATTTATTATGCAATGCACTTGTTAAAGATACTATTTCTTATGTGGTGGATCCACTCTGCAACTATATTATAGCAGCGGATCAAATAGGTCAGCTTGACTAGGGAAGAAAACACTTTTTTAAACACACGTTTGGAATAAATCAGCAACTACATTTTGAAAAACCATAGAAGAATTAAAATGTAAACTGATTATTTTCCATTCATTACAACATTTTTCTCTGTTATGTTAATGTTTAATGGAAAATTCAATATCTAATGCACATGATTATCATTTCAGCCTGCAGAACATTGCTGCAAGGATGAATGTTCCACCTCAAGTGATCGAAGGTGACGTCTTATCATCAGGTAATACATTAATTTATGCTCACATTCAAAACAAACTAAGGCCGGCCACATACATACGGAATTCAGAATGGGTCGGCCACACATATATGGAATCCCTTTTTGCCTGCAAAATTTCGAACGGAAAACTACCATACGTGTGTGGCGGGTCATAGATTTTATATGAATTTGCTGCGTTCAGAATCTCGAAACGGAATCCCGTATGTATGTGGCGGGCCTTAATTACCAATACTGAAGAACTTGCTAATGCAAATACTAATGCATCAAACTAAACTAATGAATAATAAGGTTTTGTGTCTTTGTTACTGTATAAGGGGGGGGGGGGGGTAGGAAAATCTCTATGTAATGCCCTTATCTTGGGTAAACCCGATTATTATGCAATATTTTGTATGTTGAAATTTAATATTACAACTCTAATTCCATTTTGGATGCTGAATAGTTTTCTTCATTCTTTTATTTTTTTTTTACATACACTTTTATTTACATCTAATTTTAAATGTTTTTATTGTTTATTAAAATCTTAAAATTGTTCAGTTTTATCCATTTTCAATGTTATAAATAATAATTATAGTACATTCTTCCTGCGTATTAATCTAATCTGTGTATAAAAATGATAAAATTTTACGTAAGAAGAGGAATTGTGGGTTCGAGAAATCTTATGTACTTACATGGGGGTAGAGGGGTCAAAAATAGCTAAAATCATCCTTACGTAATTAATGAATGGCCCCAAATCCGTTAGCTTGGATGTTACAGTTAGTGGTCTAGTTATTTTATTTTTTTATTTTTATATGATAGGAGAGATCTATATCTAGCAGGAGATAGTACAGGCTAATAAAGAAAAATAATATATTTTACAAATGATAATCTGCCAAACACTGTATTTCAGACATTAATGCATAATACAGCATAGATGTCATATTACTCGATTCAATCGAATTATAATTGTGGCTGTGAAACAGTCAGGCACAGTCAAGGTGAGGGAGGGATATATGTCATAGTGACCAGGCATTTTATTTTGAATATATAAAAAGAATAAAATATAAAAATTTGTCCCATATGAAAATAACGATTTCTTGCAATTGAAAAAAAAAATGGTTTGAATAATATGGCACCAAGTTGCGCCATGGCAACATGCATTTATATCTTCAGTAGGACAATTTGAACAGAATCGCATAAAAAAATTGAGGTGGAATAGTTTTCGGTACTCATGTACAGATTCTTCCTGGACTTTATGGTGTATGACAATTTTTTTTGATGATACACCAATCAAAATGTACAATTTTATTATTGAGTAAGATCACAATAAAAATTGTAATAAATCAATCCAAACACACTTTTATTATCACTGCCAATTTGTAAAAACAAATGACCAAGGAGTTTTTAGATACTTCATTAGGATACCATAAGTTCTATATTATGCTAAACTGAAATTAATTTTCCATTGATATGGCCAGTTCTAAAAACTTTTCTTGTCATCCTGGGTACAATTAACTGAGAATAAAAAAAACTTAAGCCTTATTTTATATATTTATGTAGATAAATGATTACGGTTGTATCACACTTTCACAGAATACCAGCGTGAAATAGTAGCTTAATGCTGCTGCAGTTGTAATGCTGAGTGTGTTGAACTGGGGATTCTTTTTACTGGAAATGAGGCATTCCATCTTAGCCCTCAGGGGTGACAACACAGCTACATTTTGATTCTTAATTGATGATAGATGTTAATGACTAAGGGCCACACTATCCACTTACCAGCAGGTGGACTGTGTGCTCATTTGTTACCCTTAATCCATAAAAACACACCTATACCTTCTACTACATTTTTGGTGAATGTTTAAAGTCAAGAAAATATCCAATGTTTGTTTGTTATAAGTTTCTTATAAAATATTTTTTAAGACTAACAAGAACATGCATTCAGTTCTTTATCTATCGACTTCAAAAAGGAAGAGGTATTAATTCAATTGTATTTTTTTTATGTGTGCTACCTCATAAGTAACTTTTTTCTTGGTGAACCGATTTTGATGATTCTTTTTTTTTATTTGAGAGCTGGTGCTTCTCGTGTGGTCCCATATAAATTTGATCAAGGTCTGACCAGTAGTTTTTGAGTTATCCATAATAATTTATATTAGTATGTCGGTTGTACAAAATTTTTAATTTTACCACTTGTTCCATAAATGAAAGGTCATTTTGTTTTAAAATCTATAATGACTAATAATGAAGCAATACTCAATGAATATGAAAGAATTATGTATGTTAAGAAGCCATAACCATTGTTATTTAAGAATGGATGTGTGAATTATTGTATTTGAATTCTAAGACATGCCAATAGCTGTGAAGTAACTATTTGTCATATTCGGAGAACAGTAAGTGCTTATACACAAACATATATTATGTACATGTCTACGTATGAGTATTATAAGTGATAGAACCATGCTACAGCTATATTATAGTTGTAGCATGAATGGGTGGACTCAACTGGGTTAGGACCACGCTTTCACAGAATACTAGTGTGAAATAGCAGCATAATGCTTCATTCGGTGAGTTTAGAGGATCGGAGACCCTTTTTACTGGAAACGAGGTATTCCATCTTAGTCCTCAGGTGTGAGAACGCATTTACATTTTAATTCTTAATCCAGGATAAATGTAAATGAAATTGCCACACAAAGAACTAAATATCTTGGCGCACCAAAATCACTGCTGAATGTGTCATCAAGCATTTGCTGAAGTTCTCTTTCTACTCCAAGGAGATTTCACATCTGAAATGAGTATAATGTTTCTGCCCACACACTATATATATGTTTAGACGCGAGTTGCGAAAAATAGCTTGTTGCAAACTGCAAATGTAAAATTTTGTAGAACTGAGTCCTTTGTTTGGATTTGTTTTTAAAATGATATCTGGTGCAATTTGCACCAACATGAATTAGTTCATGTGATTCTCTGATAAAAACAGTTTAACCAGTTTAGTTAGATAAGAGAGAATAGATAAGGTCAAATCGGTACAGGATTGGATGTTCTGATAAAAAGAAAATGTTATGTCGAGTTACGTTCATTTATGTAGTGTAGACAAAATAAGTAATATACTTGCAATATTTAACATATGTTCCTAGTCAGTATCGACCTAAATATTACATTATCTTCCTACTTCAAAAAAGAGGAGGTACTCAATTCATGATTTTTTTAAATGTGTGTTACCTCATCACTTTTTTGGGGGAACCGATTTCGATGATTCTTTTATTATTTGAACGCTGGTGCTTCTTATGTGGTCCCATATAAATTTGATCAAGGTCTGACCAATAATAATTATTGAGTTATTCTTAATAATTTATATTGAAGTCAGTTATACAAAATGTTTAATTTTAAATTATTTCAAATCTACTACTGTACCCAGCTAATGCTATGCTTTATGCTAATGTTGTTGCCTTATAAGCAGTTACAATATAAGGTGCTATTTAGTATCTTTTTAAATGAGGCACTTCTAAGCTTGAATACTCTAGTTATAAAAATTCCTATAATTAAATTGTTTCGTGACTGATGCATGGTGAGATAGTACGTGTATGCAATTTCAGTATACGTGGGAAAAAGTTTTCTCTGAGATAACATTATCTTTTACGATAAGCACGTGTTGGGTCCTAATGTAGAGGAAATAGAGGTGTCTTTCCTTTGAAGATTCCGTCTTAAGAAGCGACGAAAGGAATGGGAAACTTTAATGTATAACAAAAACAGAATAAATAACCGATGTGACCGATATTTCAAAATTCTATCGGTTTTTAGTTGGAAACAGAAATTACGTAAAACGAGCGCGAGATTACGATCGCCGTTTTACGCGGACATTTGTTACTAACAGAATTAGGTAGGTGGTAGAGGTCCTTTCCTGCCTAAAGGTCCGTCTGAGTAGATACAGTACACGAACGCACATCGCGGCAGAACTCCCGATACCATCCACACCATCTGGATGATTGGCGGTCCACCACTGTGCGATTTAGAAGATGTTTTCTTCTTCGCACAACTTCCTTGTGGAATAGTTTACCACCAGCGATTTTTCCGGACCGATACAATACGACCACATGCTCGTTTGTCCCCTCTCCTATAAAAAAAAAAAACACTCTTTTACCATGTGTACATCTAAGTAGCATTGCACATTATTGCGTTGAGGAGTATACACCCAATACAAATTACTAGCTATGAGACATCTTGGTCCTTATTCAGCAGAGTAAACTTATTAATTATTTTAGTACAATTGGTAAAATTAAATATTTTGTACAACCGACTCCAACCGACCAAGTGGTTCCGTACCATCGTAATACACGTTTCAGTACGGCTAGCATGGGCTGGGGACAAAAAATTTATCCCCCGATTATATCCACTGACAAGAGATAAAATTATCTTGTCCTTATGCCAAAGCACGGCACCGGGGAGAAGTATATCCCCGTTCGACATAACGAGTAGACATATATCCCCCGTCCGTAGCATGGAGTCAAATGAAAGATATAAAATTATGCATTTTTGACATTTGAAAGGGACAATTTTATCCTAGTTCATTGGACGTGGGTTTAAGTTTATATTCATACAAAAATCTATCTATGTTTAAGTCTATCTCCCATTTTATCTACTGTGGATATTATATCCACAGGTGTGCCCATGCTCGAAGGGTGGATAAAACTAAGCGTGGGGATAAACATTTTCTCCCTTCCCAGGGGATAAAATTGTCTCCATGGGTAGGATAGGAGCTAGCCGTGCAGAGCTTTTTTTTTTAATTTTAATTAATTTTTATTTTTATTATTTGTTATTATCGCGGCAACAGAAATACACATTCTGTGAAAATTTCAACTGTCTATTACGGATCATGAGATACAGCCCGCTGACAGACGGACGGACAGCGGGTGCTTAGTAATATAATAGGATAAAAATAAAAATTAGAATATAATCAATGTAATCGAAGTCAATTAAATACGCATTATTTAGGATAACTCAAAAACTCCAGCAGAAAAGAAAAGCAAAAAAGA